CCCCCCGACACTTTTGCGAACGGAATACAAGTTGTGTAAACCGTCACCCAGACATAAACGTTCGAAATTGGAAGTACTGGTAGCCTGTGGGAGGCTTTCTGACGCCTTAATCTCAACACGAACAACTTTTTCTTCTGCCACTCACAGGTGCAGGAGAGGGCGACGACGATCGACGCCCTCCCGGACGAGCTGCTGGCGGCCGTGCTGGCCCTCGTGCCCCTGTACAGATCGGACGGCAGCTCGCTGCTGGAGCTGCGCCTCGTCTCCAAGAGGTGGAAGCACGTGGTGCGCAGCGAGGCGGTGTGGGCCCACCGCAGCCTCTCCATCACCTCCCTGCCGCGCAGCAGCAACATGGCGGCGCTGCGGCTGGTGCCGGCCATTCGCTCTCTGAAGCTGGAGGCGCGCCTGGGGAAGCCCCTCCTGCGGCTGCGGCGGCTGGCCGACACGGAAGAGTGTAAGGTAAGGACACCGAGCTGGACACGCCGCTGTGCACCACTCGGCTGCAACATTTAGTCGGAGAATTGTTTAATTGTACCAGAGGGGGGGGGGGGGCTGATTAACCCCGCGCACTTTTGTAGTTGTACTGTACTAGGTGGCTGACTAACCCCGCGCACTTCTGTAGTCAGACTGTACCGCACGCACGAGTGCGGGCGGGTTTGCCTACTCGCCCGGCCCGTAAGGCACCGTGGACAGGGGCGATGGGCAAGCCTAACTACAGAAGTGCGCGGGGTTAATCAGCCACCTGGTAGTTGTACTGTAGTTGCCTGTCGCTCCTGACAACGGCGGCCAACGGGCTGAGCGAGGTATACAGCGTAACTACAAAAGTGCGCGGGGTCAAAGTCAGCCACCGCAATTTTTATTTTCTTCTCCCTTAGAATCTACTTTATAGCAAATACATGTGCATTTTTTATTCATTTTGTCAGATAATGGAACTAACCGTGTCGATACAGCTCCACAAACAAAGTGCAGATCTCCTTAGCGAGACTTTGCAACGGAGGCGGCTCCAACTTCGCGATATTGTCTTAAGACTAGTACTCAGTAAAGCTACTAGCGACCCGAGTCCGGTGAGTGCTGTCATGACCCTCTCCCTCTAGCCCTTCGCCGACCATGTGTAAGAACAGACATTTGTTACACTGTTTGTTTTTTTCGACAGGTACTTGCGGCGCTTGAGCGCCTTCCGGAGCTACGGAGGCTCACTATTGATAGTGATGACGGGCGCAAGAAGCCCCGTGTGGTGAATTACCAATTCAATAACTTTCATAAGCTCCAGTTCTTGTACCTGGGAAAGAACCTGAGCGAAAACCTGGTAAAGTCAAGTATTCAGGCCGCTAAAAATACGCTTCGCGAGGCGTACTGTTCGGAAACCGGCCTGGACGTTGGGCAGGATGTGGCGTCCTGCCCCCTGGTCACGACGACATCTTTCCAGGTAATAAAGTGCGGTAATCAGAAACACAGGGGGGCGGGTTGCATACTCACGCGGGTTTGCCTACCCAAGGGGCAATGGCGCCTCTCGGGCAGAGCTTGAGAAAGGGCCCCTCTTTCTCAAAGGAAGAGCGAGTAAAGCAAACACGCGCGCACCTGCATCTTCTCTGATTCACCCGCGGCACATGTGTGCGAACGCGTCGCTCTTAGTAAAACGCGAGAATGTGTTGTGATTGTCTGAGGTGTACAACTTGTGTTTTATGCGTGCCTTGTAGGTGGGGCCTGGGTTGGAGAAAATTAGAAAGGGGCAATCATCGGCACTGGAGACCCTGACAGTCATCTGCCGTGATCAATACCAGCTCCAGCAGCTTTCAACGTTCCTGGGTAAGAACACAACAAAACACGTGTGTGTAATATTTCGTTTGGCTGAAGGAGAAAGAAAATAGTTTGACCAGTGTACCATTTTTTTCCCCTTCAGAAAACCCGGAAGGTCTCCCGTGCTGGATAGACGTGAAGCTCGACCTGGAGGAGCCCGACCAGTGCCGCGCGCTGCTTAGGGAAGCGGGGCCCAGCCTCCGCGGGGTGAAGACGCTCTCCATCAAGGGCGCCGCGGGCGTCGAGGCGCGCGAGCTCGCCATGGTGCTGCTCCACATGGCGAACCTGGTCAGCCTGGAGCTGTCCGACTCGGGGCTGGACATGGGCCAGCTGGTCGGGGCGCTGACGGCGCTGCACGCGCCCGCACTGGAGCGGCTCAAGTTCAGAGGCACCGGCTCGATGCGGTGGGTCCGCGATTTGCGCCTGCTGCGACCGGGGCTGCGCATAGACGTGCCGTACGCGTGAAGCAGTCTTCCAGCAACGGGGGATGAAACTGTTCGTTCTGGTACGACCTGTGATACTCCTTGTTACCCCACACTCCTCGCGTCACTAGTGTGAGTTTGAGGTGCTGCCTTGTGCCCGCCGTATGGTATTTTCTCAGTGAAAATTGTTTGATTTGTATAGATACTTATATACTTAATGCTATTTTAAGTTCTTGTTGCGTTGTACCATATAGGGCGGTAAAGTTGGTAATCCCAGTTAAATTATTACCTAGTTCCAACCATATATTATTCCATCAGTGCATTGATTGATTTGTATTAATACTACTGTACGTAATTCTTATTTTAAGTTCTTGTTGCTTTGTACAGTACCATAGAGGGTGGTAAAGTTGGTAATCCCAATTAAATTATTATCTAGTACCTACCATAAGGAATTCCCTCAGTGATCAATGATTGATTTGTATTTATACTATTGTACTTAATTGTCATTTTCAGTTCTTGTTGTATTGTACCATAGGGCGGTAAAGTAGATGATCCTGATTAAATTAATATCTAGTACCTACCGATACCCTCAGTGATTATTGATTGATTTGTACTTATTGTTATTTTAAGTTCTTGTCACGTTGTACCGTATAGGGCAGTAAAGTTGGTATTCCCTACATTATTATTGTATTAGACATAATTCCAGGGAACATTTTACAACTGTTGCCATAGTTCCTGCTTGCAAATTTTGTAGCATGTTACGTTATATTATTCTGTAGAAGTGAGCATCGAGATAGAATTTAGAGTGTGCCAAATGATGTTTTACTTTTATAACGATACATGACCAGATATAGTCTATGTCTTCTTGTTAATTTTATGTTTAAA